AATTTTCTTCGATCGCTATCGGTACTTTATCTTAGAAAAGTAGTCGAGAACGTATTAACGTGTACAATTATGTTCCAAGAGTCAATACGCGAAGAAAGATACACGATAGATTTACAAACGAAAGTCTCACGATAAATCAATCATATTTCTCTTCCGTGCATTTTTGAAAAAAAATATTTACCAATAGTTAGCAGATTACATAAACTTTTGTTGATTCTTCGATTACGCGTACAGCGAAATACGCTGGATTCACGAAGGATGTTATTCGCGCGATAATTAGAAAAGGCCTGTGTTTCCACGGCGACACACGTCGATAAGTAATCACCACCTGTCGCGACAATAACTCGCCGGTCCGAAAGGAACCAGCGTCGTTTCTTAATGAGACAGCGACGCGTCACGTGTTCTCTCGGATAGACCGCCCCGGGGCCACGTAATGAACAGGTATCGCTCGGCCAAGCTTACGCTTTTCTCTAGCGCGTATGGCGGAACCGCAGACAAGAGGGAACGGTGTCGGTAGTGCAGTAAACTCGTGCCTGTGGATAAATATACGGTATTATATAAGTTGTTTGCTGTGAGCCAGAGAACGAGAGGAGAGAGAGAGAGAGAGAGAGAAAGAGAGAATACGCGCGGAATCGAGGAACACAGCGTGTGCGGATCTGTAACCGGCTTCGCGCGCGAGCGTGTTGCGTAACAATCAGCAGTCTGACGCGATCCGATGACTTCTCCGCGATTCCTCTACCTACGTGTCGGCCACGGGGAAATTCGTCAAGAAACTTCCACGATCTTGTAACGTTACATCGTGCAGCTGGACACGTTTCGGAAAATCGCATTGGCATTCTTACCTCGGTCGTTTTTTCCGTCATGGAACCTGCCGTGTATACGCGACGGAGTTACGTAACGGAGAAGACGGTGTCGATCGTGGTTGCACTTCGAATAGCGTAGAAGTTCGGGCGCTCCTGAGTAATGAGATTCGAGCAGAATTCGTACGCGATGATCCAACAGCAATGGAATTAGAATAGTCAAAATTATAGTAGAATCAGAACGCGACGACCAAACACATCGAAGTTTCGTACGTCGAAATGGCGTCTTTGTTATATCGTTTTATGACAATTTCACGTGATCTCGAGCTATTGTCGGACGTTCTGTAATCCATTGAATGTTTGAGATTGCAGTAGAATTAGAACACAATGATCACACGCCAAAGACGATCAAAGGCTTTCTTCCATTCGTCAAAACGGTGTCTTTGTTGCGCCGTCTTACGATAACTCGAAGTGGTGCCGAGTTGCTGTTCGAGATTGCGATATAATTAGAGTAATCGGAACTAGAAGTATCGAAAATTGTTTCATTCGTAGATACATAGTATCATCTCTGTTCCGTTGTCTTGCGACAAATCCGAACAATCTCCAGTTACTGTCGGAAACTCTGTAAATGTATCCAACAACCGAGATTTCAATAGAGATAGACCGATCGAGACTGCAACGTGATCAGGCACCAAAGAGATCAAAGGTTGCCTTCCGTCTTCACGACGTCATTGTCACGACACCCTGCGACAGCTCGAAACGTTCCCAAGCTGCTGTCACGGCTTCTACAGATTCAGCCAACAATAGAGGATTTGGTTTTCAATCGATCCCTTGCCATGTCCGTATTCCGATCAAAAACTGTCAGCGGATGCAGGTTTCGCGTTTTTCTTTTTATCTTTTTTTTTTTTGAAGGGTTCGCCAATGGATGCCCTTGCTAATCGTTATTTCGTGCCAATTTGTCCTATTGATCCAGGGGACCGGGAAGAGAAATAGCAGGCCGATGGCCCTGCTATTTCGTCGCATTGTCGTCGGACAAAGGAAAAGGCGGACGAGATCGTGCAGGCTCTTGCCGCGTTTCGCTGCCGTTTCCGTGGCCAGATTTCAGCTCGCATCGAATAACGACCTTGATCGGCTTCGACAGCTGCTAATGCGGCGCGATGAATTCGATTGGGTTAGAAGAATGGGGGTGAGTTGTACGCGCCACCATTTCGGAAGGCGTCGGTCGGCTCAAACTACCGCTTGATTGCGTGCCAATGTGCTGCGACTTTTCGGATGGATCGAAGGGTGCCGACGGATCGAAATTCTGTCGATCTCTACAAGGGAGGATAAAACGAACGAGGCAAAAGAGAAACCGGGAGCGGAGAAGGGGGCAATAGAATCGCGGAAAACGCCTTTTTCCCTTTTCCCCTTCGCAGAATCGACAGGTTCAAAGGGAGGGCTCCGGATTTTTCTCGTTTGAAGACCGTGCGACGTGAGCTTTCAGCCAATTTCCCACCCGTGCAGGTCACGTCTTATTGCGCGACCGAATACATAGATTTCCACACGGACAGAGAGCCACTTTTTGACCACGCTGATTTACCCCGTCCCTATATATATATATATATATATATATATATATATTATATATATATGTATATAAAATATATATGGTGTCGCAGTCAGTTGGTTCGAGGCATCTCATAAATATGATAGGAACGAGAGCTTTTCGAGGATACGCGACCGGACAACGCTTCCGTATACCTGTTCCTTCTTCTGCGTGATTCTATTCGGAAAAGAGGGATTTTTTCGCGAATCTCTGCCCCCTCGTTGTATTCCCACCGACCCTTGAAATCTCTCTTTTTTGCCGAGCAAATTGTTTCTTTGATCGTACACTGCCTTTTCCCACCTTTCCTCCGTCAAGACATTAAACTCTACGAAGAGATTAAATTTTCTAAACTCATACGCAAACGATTGGTATAAATTTTTTCTCTGCGTGGACGATTTGTAAAAATTGCGGTATAAACAAATTTTGTTTTACATTTTCCATTCACTTTTGCGCCTAAAATCAGCCCCTTGTCTGTTATACGATGATTACAGATAAAGTTCTCGCGCAGTTCTGTCGACAAAATCAGTTTATTCGATTACGTTGTTACTCGAATATCATCGATAAAGTCACACGGCCGCAAGACCATAAAACGGCACCTGTTACAGCTACCCGTGGAAGCGAAACAATACCGACTGGATTCGCGGTTGATTCTACGTGACGTTCGACCGAAGGTGGGCCCACACACGGGTTCTTCCAGGCGTCACCTCACGTGTCGGTATTAATCAAGCGAATGCTCGGGCCAGATTGGTTAGTGGTAGGCGATAGGAGGAAAAAGTAACGGCTTACGTAAGCAGGGGACGCTGGAACATATTTAGTCGCGGTAACTCGTCCCGAACAGTCGAATCCTATCGTTGCTTGGGACTCGAAGCGTCCAGAAAAAATTGTTTCACTTCTGCTACGAGTCTGCCACTGTCGATAAAAGTACAAGAATAAGTGATTTCTTTGCGATGAGATTTTACAGGTGAGTGGTTAAGAAGTTTCTTTTCGGCTGTTATTCATCGTTTAATAAGTATTAACCGCTGGATATGAATTTATCTTTGTTGGTTCACGAGGTTTGTCCATTGGCGAGCAAAAATTTCGAATCATTCTTCTATTTGTAATTAAATCGGATCATCTGTTAATTCTATCGTGAATTCGAAATTGAAGTTTCTCATTTTTTAGTTCGTCGAAACTTTTGCCAAAGAATTTTCCAAGATAGCGGAATTCTAAGTCGATTTTCATTAAACGATACGATCTTTCGCCAAAGAATTTTCTAAGCTAGTAGAACGTTAAACTGATATTGTTTTTGAAATTCGCGGTTTCTACGGAACGTGTGTACAAACTCGAGATCTCGAAATTCTAATATAATCGTTGATATATAGCGTATAGCGACACGTCATTTTTGTGCAAGATCGTGACAGCCACGAGAATACGTTCGTTCGATGAGTCTTTTCTATTTTATATCAAAATATTATACATTGACCATTCGTTGGATCTTTTCAGCGTTCGCTGTTTATTTTAACAGGAAAGAATTAAAAACGTCGGGGATATTCCCAGCGCGGGATTACCGTTTCCGTATGAGCAATCCGTTTCTCTAAGTTTATAAGGAAAAAGTATAAAAGGTACCGATGGCTTTTATCGAGAATATTCATATGATTTTTCATCTTCCGGACTTGTTTTCCTTTACAATTCGAAGCTCTCGACGTCTTGATTTTTATATTTTAGTTTTCCTGGAGAAACACGTATTCGCACAAACGTGTGTTCTTTGCAGATAACATGTATCTGCTACTCAGTTATGCCAATTTCCTCGTTTCTTCAACGTAGAGATAACATTTATTACTTCAACGTGAAGTGATACACGCATCGTGTCAAAATGTGTAAGCTGTTTCAAAGCCTGGCATGACGTAGGAGATATTTTTAATTAACAGAGGATTGAAAGAGGCTATTAAATCAAGTAGACTGTTCGAAACAATTACGTACATCATTCTTCGTGTCATTTTGAATTTCATGCTTATTACTCGTGTCTCGTATATATGCAGTCGCCTCAACAAGTATTCGCACGTCATTGTGTGATAGCATTTATATACCGGTAAACCTAATCAATTAGATTTAGGTATATTAAATTTCGTATCACCTAGTAGCAGGTGTATATTTACATATGATTAGAAAAATTTGATGTTAGGAAAATGGGATACGTATAAAATCTGATAAAAAAGCGTTTCGTTGGAAATGATAGGCATATGCAAATCGTTTTTGTAACCGTTGTATATATATTTTCAGCAATTGTCTTGAAATCAATTTATACGCCAAGCAGTTAATTTCCGCGCATCTGCCAACTAACTTCTTTTAAAAATTTCTATCGAAATACTTTCTACATTAAAAAATACAGAAAATCGAGACTAACGTTTTCCTAATTACTTTCCTATAATATCATGTCACACAAACTGATATCTAAACAGTGTTTTATTACGTTTAGAAGTAACATGCATTTCCTGTTGATAGGTCAACTGCGACGCAGAAAATATTCCTTCTTTACGATATCAAACTACCTGGCTTTCACATTGCCATCATCGATATCCAACGTTGCTTTGATCCCCGTAAAACTTCCTACTTATACGCATTCGCTAGAAAACTCACGTACCTCGTAACTTACGAGGAAGAGTAGTGGCTATCGACTTCTAATTTACAAGAGTCCTTCGTTAATACATTCCTCGTAGGAAACGTTGCCTTATCTAATCTAAAACGCTTCGATTCTGCTGTCACGGGACCAGGAGGCCGGTGCACGATTTATTACTTCGGTCGTGGGGTCGCGCAAGCCCCAAACGAAATTCTCTTCGTGTTCGTGAAATAATAATCGCCGGTCAGGTAACGTTAGATCTCGATATCTCGGGGTCCCCGGATCGAGTAATCTTCTTAACGAAGAATCGTCCCTTGCGCTGCCGGTGGAAAGGGAAAGATGCGTCTCCAACGTTGGATCCAATGAGCACGGCTATCGGATACGCTTGTCTATTCTCCGGAGAGACGAAACTCCTGACCAAAGGCGTCCGCGAGAAGAGAGAGAGAGAGAGAGAGAGAGAGAGAGAGAGAGAACACGGGGCAAAACAATCTCATTGTTGGCTTGCGCCTTTCCGGGGGGTCGGAAAAGGTACTGGATCGAGGACAAACGAGTGGCAGGTGCGTCTGTTTCTAGGATGGGGACCCTTAATACGGTATTTCATCGATCATAATGCGCCCCAAACCTTCATCACGCTTTGTATCGCTCGAATGGAATTGGTGCGGCTAATATCGATTCCTTTTGTCTCTCTTGTTGACGTTTCTTTTCCCTCTGCACCTTTCTTCCCCGCTGTTCTCCTGTATCATTGTCGGAAGTGCTTTGGACACGCGTGAATGTGTCATATCGGAGTCTGTTACTCTTTTGTCTCGTGACAAGCGTCGAAACTTGGTTTCCCGAGAAGCGGAATTTTCATCTTTCTCCTATTTCCAGCCATAGAATCTTGCTGAATTTGGTTGCGCTACGAATTTAGGCTCGCCGTGTATTGCTACCGTGTATCGAGGTGAAGAGTAATAGAATATGATGTTTTTCTCTAGTAGGTTTCACCAGATATAGGTTACTATCGCGGAGAAAGTTTTCTAAACTTCATAGAAGCGATTAAAATCGTATTTCCACCAACTAGTTCGCCATGTTACTGCAGAACGCGGAGGACGCGAAGGAACCGTTCGATTAATAGGAAAGTTTTCTCTAGAATTCGAACTAGTCCGTGAAAAAGAAGGTCGGTAAAAGAAGAAGAAGAAAAAGAAGAAGAAGAAGAGCAAAATGAACTCAATGGAAAGCGAATGCGCAGACACGATCTAGAAAAGGAACTTTCCTTGGCTCCCTTTAGTTGTCTAGAAACTGGTGAAACTTTTCTGACAATCCTTTCTCTCGTCCTCGACGCGGTCTTTGTTCTCCATTGCGATTCCAACGCGTTTCGTCCGACGTCGTCTAGACCCTGCGGGACAATGCGCGTCGCTATTTCGGTAAAACGCGACTGATTATTCCAGATACGCGCGCGACCGAATAATACGCGGAGGAACAAAGCGACGTGACACCGATGCCGCTGGAATGGCTGGCTCATTATTAACGCCCGGCGAAGTATCGTGTCCCCGGCTCTCCCTTTGACGCCTCTATCTCTCTCTCCACTATTCTCTCGTTTTGTCACGTTTCGACCAAGCAACGAGGAAAATTGTCCGCATTCCCAGACTCGTTGATAATTCCCCGCTGTGATAGTGTTACGCGTTAGTGAAGATAGATGGAAAGTTCCGTGGATGGTTGTGACCTTCGGCCACGATTTAGAAAGCGATATCGGAAGAGGAACACGTTGCCTTATCTAATTTTTAGCTCTTCGTGGGCAAGCATAGTTTTGTACTGTAATTTTTTCTCTTACTGTTTTAAACTTAGACAACATTTTAGGGATATTTTCACTTTTTAAGTGAAACGTTCAGAGACCCTTGAAAGATAAAAACTTGCTTCGGAGAAATTGACGAGATAAATTTTCCTCGAGATACAAACTTTTTGGGTTGCCTATGGCCAGATAATAACACCGACGATTACCGATGTAGAATTAACCGCTAAACATCGATCATTTTCTTAATCCTACTATGACAAATCTAAGTCATTACGTTGATATGACTGATATAATAATATACGACTATAAATTACTTTGCAACGATATTACGAAGCTTTAAGGAATATTTGAGGCACGGAAAAGTCCCAATTTTCGGTCATCGTTGTTTCTCTCGCCAGGTAAGGGCGGGAGGAGAACCATTCTCGGTTACAAAATTACGTAACCACGCTAGTACCGTGCCATTTGGAGCAGATGCGACGGAACGTAGACCATTAGACGTCGCAGAAAGGACCCTTATGCTCGTTTCACAGGGTCATTTCAGTTCTCGGAGGAAAGGTATGCAAATTGTACGGAGGAAAGGGCGCGTTCGATTTTGAACGCTGCGTTGTCCGAGACCCTCGAGCTGTTCGGTTTTTTGCCTCCCTTGCTTAAAGGTAATTCGAGTCGAGCTTCCCTGCTGGGACTTGGGAAACTAGTCTGCCGTCGCCTGCCCTCTCCCTTCTTACCTTCGCTTGCGAAATTGGAAAAGCGCGACGAGCTCGTTCCAAGAACGATCGAAGGTTCGCTAATGTACCTTACGGCGTGAAAGTGGAAAAACGATCAAAGACCAGCTCCAGTTGGGCAAATAAATTCGACACGGATACTTTTTCAATGTATTTTGTATCGGGCCATTTGAATATTATCTTTTTAGATCGATGGCAAATCTTGAAGTGTATTTTCAAAGCAAAGACTTTCAAATGGATGAGAAAGTTTGAAATAAATTTATTTACATGAAATCAACCGACTGGAATTTGTAATAAGCATTTTATCATTAAGAATAAAAGAGTCGATGATTTTACATTTGCTCGATGAATTAGAACACGTGGGAAGGAGTTATCGATAGGATTTGACGACTATGTTCCCACTGTAAAATTTGTAATTTTATAACGACACAAACATTTCTAATACAATAGGTACAACTCGTTTTTTCTCATTTATTTCTCCAACATTCCGACCGTTCTATCAACGAGAACCGAACAAGAGCAACGAGGGTTGCGGGAAAATAATCGCTGATCGAAACACGGCAACGACTCAGCCACGTTCCGTGGCAGTTGTCTTTCGGTCTTGCGCGTATTTATTTTTCGAGCGCTTCGCCTCCTTTGTCGTGGAATAATTCCGAAGGCGTAGACACGAGGCCAGGACGCCGGAAGTTCAGAGTGCGGATCTTGAAGGCGCGGAAATAGGGTGGTAATGGGAGCAAGGTGGAAGAGATGACAAACACCGTGGTTCAGAGGGAGAAAAACTTTGAAGGGAAGCGAGAAAAAGAGAGAAAGGAGGAAATGACTGGTAACGCCAGGAGCAGCTGCTTTCGAGCGTTTAGCGAATTTTGCCGCGAGGCATTAAGAGGGCCGGCCCCCCTTAGTTCTTTTTTCCAGCGACTCGCCTCTTCCTTCTTTGCTTCCTCGTTTCCTTTTCCACGCAAAAACCGAGCATACAAGGGCCACTGGCCGGATTCACACGCCGAGGATCCCCGACCATCGTCGTCTCGTCCCAATGAAAATCCCGCTTTCTCGCGAAAGAAGCTGCTAAACTTTGAAGAAAAGGTCTTTGGATCCATTTGGTTTTCGTCCCGTCGATTTTGTCTGGGATGTTTGCGAGCTACCAAGGAATCCCCTTGGAGTTTCGACCGAACGAAACCCCATCCGGAGTCGATTAATCGTCGGAAAAGAAAATCGAAAGAGCGAAGGAAAGCTGGGACGAGTCGACTAGTGGAAAAAGTTCCAGTTGGAACTGGAAAACGCGTTTCAAGCAGGTTTCACGGTTCGTGAAAAACCTACGCCGGTTCTCATGCACGCACCACACGCGAGCAATATGATAAATCTGAAAGAAGACGAGGACACTTTGGACGATGGTGCTTCGCGCGGCTAGAGGCGGACGTTTTTTTGCGCAACTCGCGGGAGAGAAGCCTCCCGGGGACATTTTCACCCTCTTCTGCGTGTCTGAGCGAAAAAGAAAGAGATTCGGATGCAGCAGAATGTAGATTTAGCCCAGGCTGCTGCTGCTTCCTCAGCGTTTCTCTCGCAATCGTTAAGAGAGGAAATCCAGCTTTCACCGCCTTTGCTTCGGAAATTATCTTGGCTCGCGAGTCGAACAAAAAATCTCTCCAAGAGTTTCGATTTTGAACTGTTCGATTCGTACAATTTCGCCGCAAACGTTTCAGGACATATTCAGTATGTAGAGTCGCGATCCTGTAGAATGGCAATGAAATTTCAAAATACACATATCTCGCATAACGCGCACGATACGTTCATAAAAGCAGTCTGAATCTACCAGTATCGACGAATACTTTCGTGACCCACTGTATATCCCAAACCCATATTTTTTTCAAAATATACAATTCAAATACCCCAAGCTACGAAACGATCTAATACTATAAAAGAAGAATCGGTGTCTGGCGACATATTCCTATATATCGAATATTAAATTGTTATTTAGATCGCTTGTACTTTTGCGGTACCTAAAAGGCAAGGAAGGGTGTACACCGTTGGCGCGAATTGTGGTTAACGGGCTGGAAAGGTAAAAGAGCAGCACGCGCGAAAAAGAAAGAAGTTTCCCGCGGAGTCGGCTCTACCACCGTCACAAAAGAGCTCGCAATATTTCTGTTATGGTACATTAAATTCGTACGAGTTTTCTAACGCGACCGCGTCGTCAATAACGGTGAATCGCCGAGAAATAACGGCGGGGAGAAGAGAACAGGAGCGCGCAAGATGGGAAAACACATTTTCTTTCCCTCCTTCTCCTCTCCCTCTCCCTCTCTCTCTTTCTCTCTCTCTCTCTTTGGTTATTTTTCTTAGTCGTTTTGTGGAATTCAACCCGCAGCCCTGCAACGAACAATCGATCGATTTGTTTCGGCCAGCTGCGCGTAAACCGCCAAAGGAAACGCGAAATCAAATTGCGTGGCACAAACGGACACCCAAACTTTGAAAAATAAGTTGCAAATAGAAAACAATTCTTGCCTGATTGTTGATGAATTCGATTAAAGCTCTTTGTCTCATCTTCCTGTTGCAAACAATCATCTACGCATTTATATGGAAATAAAACGTGCAAGCGTGCAACGACGGTTTAATAACTCTCTAATGTGCACCAGCAGTCAGAAATGTTAGGACGCTCACAGAAACGAACAGAATATCGTTAAAATTTCTAAAATTATCGACTAATTCGAAACTTGAAATTTTCACGACCATTAGCTGACACACTTGCGATTCTTCAGGCGAGTAATGGAATACAAAACCGCATTATTTTGAGTTGCGACACTCTATACATCTGCAGCAGTGGTTCCCAAACTCTTTATAGTCACAGCGCACGTTAGAAAATGTACAAGTGTTTACGCACACTTTGTATTCAAATTCTAAAATTTACAACAGCAGATGCAGCTACGCGATTACAAAAAGAAAGAAAGGAAAAAGAAAAGAAGAAAGATCTTGTTGAATTCTGGTTTTGAACTTGGGAATCACTGATCTATCGCGTCAGCGTCATATCGCCTCGAGGTAAATCAAACAAAGTTGATTCCTTTATAACTCTCCAAACGTTATTTTCTGTTTATTCCAATTGCTGATACGTAGATAAGTTTACTACGCGATAAGTTTATTCCAACTATATGTTTCAAACCGGAACGAGTATTTAACGAAACTCGTGGTTTGGTAGCTATCGATTCTTAAAACATCGTTGCGTTATACTTTACGTATATCGTGTTAAAGTTGTTCAATGAATCACCGAGGCAGTGCCAGTGCGAGTTTGAAAAGCGAGTTGCTCGAACGATATGCCGATTAGGACAGGACAACAATGAAGCACCGACCAGTTTTCCTATCTTATCGAGTAATAACACGTTTCGAAGCCTGATACGCAAAACCTGGTTTTCCATCGTAGAACTAGTTTAGAAACAATACTTGTATCTTATCGGCTCGTAAAGCGTCGGAATGCGGCAGCTATTTTTGCATTTGCTTTTCGAGCCTTCGATTTGCCGGTATTGGTTCGTACTTGTAATTGGATGTGATGCAATGCACCTCGACCGACAAGTTTTCGATCTTTGAAACAAACACGTCAAAAGAGAAACAATTCTAAATTCTAAAGAATCCGAGTGCAGAATGTGTTCTAGTTTTTGTTCGAAAGATCTAGGCTTATGAACGTTTTACTAAAAAATCACGACAAACTTATCGAACGATCGAGGTTCGGTTTTTCCTTCGACAAAAGGGAGAAGCAGATCGACACGATATTTCTGAGGAGGCACTCGATAGCACAAATACCACCACTCGACACTAAATAATGTCGGACGACGACAGCGCAGTGGTTAGCGCCTTAGGTTACGAACGTTTCGGGACCCGGGTTCGAATCTCGGCACCCGTGGTCCGATTTTTCTTCCACGATTCTTAAATGAGAAGAAAATACAGCAGTATCCTAGCAGCGACATCTACAGCCAGCAGCTACAATTATCACGGACAACACTTTTACACCTCATTTCGAAGATGAATTGGTTTGTATTCTCGAGAAATAAGCAACGCGATATTTAAATCAACCCCTTTTTATACAAAGCAACAGGTACGCAGATAGTACCGTGTGCGAATATTAATGCAAGTAACTGTATCTCGTACGATTGTCTGTCAACTGGGCAAGAAGAAAATATTAGTACCGTTGCTAAGTTTCAACGCTGAAACGAGGAAAGGCCAAACTTGAAAATGAGAATACTCGAGTTATTTCGATCCCGGTGCTTCGAGCTTACATTGTAGGTCAGTCTGAGCGGGACAAAAAATTAACGGCCGGCATTCGCCAAGATTTATGGGTGGGTGGACGGTATGGTGGCTCGTTTGCAAAAGTAGCTCGTGGTGACACGTTCCAACGAGGCTGCCGCGTTCCGTTTGACAAATGGATCAAAATTACCAATTATCCCCTAGCGTTTTCGTCGACGTCGGCTTCGATAAAGCCAACACGAGGTTCTCTGAAATCGAGCGTGAAGCGCGATCGCGATAATTTACGAACGGTCGCGCGAGCGGTTTTTGTCGCGCAATCGTGTGTGTTCTCTCCGATCCCCGATTCTCTAGGATCGAGTCGCGATATATCGTTCACGCGCCATCGACATCGTGACGGTTCTAATCGACATCAAAAGAGTTGCGGTATAAGAATTAGTAAATATCTCGATTTAAACGATTTTAATAAAGAAAAATCATCGCAGACGAGGAAAATTTTTTTCGTTACCGGTAATCATCGCGACCATTATTTTTTAATCGTTTAATTTTTCAAAGAATTCCTTTCGAATTTTAGAACCATCATTATCTTTCGTATAATCGGAAATAAACTTTTTTTCGTAAAAATTTTAGAAAGAATGTTAATTTTGGTGTCCGATTCGATCATGCACGTATTCCACGACACACACGGCTATTCAGACTCGCACGACTATTTGAACACGCACACACACGCGTGGGTGTTCCATAACGGTGTAGCAGACCGTGAAAAGTAAATCAACGCGAGCACGTTCTCTGTACGAGGCTATTGTGTTGTTATTATTTCCATTAGTTATACATCGAACCGACGTTCTAGCTCTTATAAGTTTTCTCGCAGTCGGCGCGTGATGTATTCGACGCGTTATTCAACTCTTACGCATTTACCCCGATGGAATTTGGCATTTACACGTATCTAATGGTTCGCTTTTACCTTTTTCTGTTCCAGGTAAATCCACTGGCCGATCCCCTATGTATTCTTAGTTCGCAGCGAAATACACTCTCGCTCGACGTGGTACGTAATCCGCTAAGCGAGAAACCAATGTCCCGAAGTTCGATTCGTAGCGACGGGAAAGGAATTTCCTGTGGTCCGGTGACTTTTATCGGGAACACCATTCCCGTCCGCCTTAACACCCTGTGGGGAAGGAGCCGTGATTTATACGAGCTTGATCGGCCGTCCTAAGCCTCTCTCGTTAGAATCGATTGCGCGAGGGTGGGCGACTCTCTTTCTCTCATCCCCTGGCCATGTCCCCTCGGAATTAGGTCGTCTCGACGTTTCGATCTGATTTCTCGAAACAATTGGTCCGTCGCGTTGTAAGTTGTCGCAAACTTGTTCCAACGAATTTGTCGCTTCCCCGTGAGTTAGTTGCAAGTTTCCTGCAAGTTCTGCGACAAAACAGGCGTTCGGTGAAGTACCGTTCCGTGGTTGAGAAAGGTGGCTAGTGGCATAGATACAGGTTTAGATTGTTTTCTGACTTTTATGTCTCTTTTGAACGTAGAGAAACTCTTTCTCTATGAAATGTCGTCACGCGCGTTTTATTTTGCAAATTTTATACAGCTTCGCGCGTTACGTATATTTTCGACAGTTTCGAACTGTGAAATTTTGCAGGAAATTCAACTGGACATATATTCGTAATAGGATCGTCCTTCTTTGACACGATCTTAGACGCGAAACACAGCATTTTCTTCAATAGCCAAGATGATCGTATCTACGAATTTTCACGATCTATATCGAGATCCGAGGAGAAACGAACAGAGTACACGTAGGTGCTAGAAACGATGCAAACGAGCCTTCCGATAGCGTAACAAAATAACGAAGAATATAGATTAGACCATTTAGATTTTCTTATATCATTGACATATCATGTACAAAAAATACGTACTTTCCATTTTTTGTAGAGGTGATCTATAGCTTGGATTGCAAAAGTTACTTACAAATTAATATTCTATTTACAATCTCTCATTAAAATGATACGATATTAATTCCCCGTCACTTGTCGCTCGATAATTATTGCTTCTATACATCTCTCGCTTTTGCCAGCCACCTTCTCGACCATTCGCGATGAACAATTGCCCCTTCGTTTCGCGATTCCCAGCTCTGGAAAATTTTCGAGATCGCATCCTGATATCACGTCCGATGTTCGAGAGGGTATCGACGAGGTCTGCCCCGACGATTGGTACAAAGATCACACACCGTGATCATTAAACGTTCCATCGCGCAGAGATTGGCTCGTTAGTGGCGCGTTCAGCTCCGGAATCCGCCACGGGAATAATAATACGTACGAAGGGGGTTAGATTGTTTGGTTGGACTAGAGGGAAGAGAGAGGCGACGTGTATCGTCTTCTTAACGACGTCTCCTCCGGACGCACGGTCTCGAATCGACAATTTATTATCCGTCCCGCGAGGATCAATACCAGCACCGGCATAGAGGCGCATTCCCACGTTGAAATTGAAATCTATTCGTTGCCGCGTGCATTCTCCTCTCTCGTTTCACCGTGTGTTCCCGTGCACGCATCGTTGTGAGTCTTGATTGCCAGTCGGTTGTAAAGAACGTTCGATGCATACGCCGGCATGCAGCGATTGCAAGAGACAGCGGCAACGACCGACTTCAAGGTAGCAAAGCCAGTCGACGGCTTATGTAAGCCGTTTGGAGGTCTGCTTGCGTTCTACGCGCTCGCGGACGACGCGGGAGAGGATCGAGTTTAGACGACTACCGACTATTGTAGCGTTTTTCGTATATCGATGGCCAACGTTGGATATCGAACGAGGCAAGTTTCCAAGAGACGTGGAAAACGAGGAGATTTTTACCGTTGAATGCTGCACTCGAGTCGTCGCGATCTCTGACACTGTTGCGATAATTAACCGCGTATCTTCTTCTCCGGTCTCTGAAGATTAAACGACCAAGTTCGTACATCTTTGGACCCTAAGTACAACCAACTCGTATCTTTGATTAACGGCCAACAGACAGTCGTTGAGTCGGAATCGATGAACTCCGAGGGTTCGGTGTAAATTAAGCGACGACAAAGCGTTTCACTGCTGGCAAATGACGCGAGTGTTGCACGATTAAGCGTCGCTACGATAAATAACCGTTGGATAGATGGAATATTCATCTGGTAAGGGGGAAGCCGTCGAGCCATGACGAGCAATCGTAGTTCATTCCTATTCTTGAATGAGCCTCGATGAATGGAACTCGATATAACATTCTATTAACTCGCGAGAGATAGAACGGTAGATATAATACTCGGATTTTGATCAATTATCCAGCTCCATTACCTCGATGCCCGTAACCAACTTTAATCCCACGATCGATAGCCAATGTGTTAGCGAATTTTTCACGGAAATCACAATGTTTCGATAACTAGTCTAGCCGTTGGAAAACAAGTCCGCTAATGTCCATCGACACCCAAACCGGACTCTCTCGTTTTGCGTTGCAGCAACTTCCGTGACGAATTGAATTCGAAAGCTAAGGTGGCAGCAATGCACAGCCCACCTACACTACTATCGTCCATAAGTATCGGAACACCTAATGCGATTCGATTGAAAGCTCGATAATTTGTTTTTTAATTTTATTGCCAAATATCCAACTATTCTCGCATATTCTTAAGATTTCGACTTCTTTTAACATCTTGCCGATATCTGGAATATTTTATTCCTGAAAAGTGTGAAATAATAAAAAGTAGCAAACATGTATATATCGCGTATTAAAGTCAAATACTTAAATGTTTTCTACATGGATTTTAATAATATCCATTGGAATGTAATTTCCCAAGATACGTTTGATCGGACAAATTTTCCGAATTATTATCGGCAGTCGAACTTGTGGCTCGATCGATCTTCCGTTCGACCCCTCGAATTCTCCGTCATCGACGTGTCTTTCATTTACCTGCTCCACTCGCGGTTAGTCTTCCCGCGAACTTTCGATCGAGAATGCCGTCGAACTTTTGTACCTCGACCCTGCCGCCAGACATTTGAATGCAAATACGCTTTTTACTTATATTTATATGTAAATGCGGGGTGCTCCCGGCGGACCTGGAGAGCCGAGACACGACGCGAATGGAAACGGTGTACTTGAAAGGCGAGAAAAAGGCAATGAGTTCGTGATACGTTGCAATTACGTCTTGTGCGCCTTTGCAATTATCTTTGGCGAATTTACGCAGTAGGACCTCGATTATTCGAATTAATTGGTTACAGAAGGACTAAACGCTCGAATTTTTTAAACAATCGAACGACTAAACTCGTCAACGCGGTTTATATGAAAAGCGGTACAATTTGTCGCGAACGATTATTTTTCTCTTGCTCTTCTAATTTGTTTTTCAAACCCTTCGCAACTGACAAATTACACATTTTCACATCATCCGTTGCTTGCTTCTATTGCTACTAAATTTCTCCTTAATTCGTTCAGTAATTTCTTCATTGCACACGTGTATAACGATGGACTTCTAACGAGATCGCTAACCTAATCGAATATACAGAGAGTATGACATAGCTGAGTATATTTCGCGTATTTGGTTCCTGTTACAGTTCGATATTATTCGGATAGTCGGACGTTCGATCAAGAGGTATATTCTGAAAATCGAAGAAACGCTAGATGGGGCGGTTAAACTTAGGAGGACAGTGTCTGTTCGCGGCACTGTGGAAACTTTCGTTCGAGCGCTTCGATTTGCAAAAGAGTTCTTTTCAGCCTTTGGACCGACGTTTGCTTGAAGTAAAGTCATCTTCGACGTCTCAAATTTTAGCAAACGGATAACGAGGCGGTTGATTCGTGCGTTATTTTTCTTATCGTGGCCCGAAGGGCGGCGGATTTCGCTGGAAGAACAGTGCATCCTCTCTTACGATCGTACAACGACACGGCGTTTCTCAGAGCTCGATCACCAGTCGAGTACGTATCGTTATCGGTTATCTAGAATTCCCTCCGCGGACGTTCCTCGTCGGAAACAGCCTCGTGGTGTATATGTAGATAGAAGCTAGAACAGCCGCGTTCTTTATCTTTCCTCCGATTTCCTTCCTCCCGTCAATGCACTGTTGTAGAGGAAAGCTTCGTTCATAGGTCGTTCACCCTGCAAATCAGCGAGAACTCATCGAGGCGATTTCAGCTTGCGATCTTACTCGGTGTCGGACGCGAAGTTTTGTAGGTATAGAAAATTATGAAAGTCAAAATACGTGGTTTGGTTGGCAAGTAAACCGAGAATTTGTATACAAAACTTCAAGATGCATAAATGCACAGAACGCATAGGTATAATATTCGAAAGTATCTAGAATCTTCAAAGCTTCTTAAGAAAGGAGGTTCCTTCGATTCCTAGAAATCCAAACAAAGATATTTCCAAGACTCGCTTTACTATTTTTGGACCAAACTAACTGTAACAAAAAGAAAAAGGAAGAAAAGAATGGACCAAAAGGTCATCGATTCTCGTGAAAAAAATATATATATTGCCAAATATATCGTTATTATATACATGTATATATAGATTTTATATTAAAAATACTTTATACTATAAAGTTATGAATGGATTCGTAAGAATTCGAGTCAACCCGGAGTCACAGTGGCACCGAAGAAGATATTTAAAATGTAGATGCACTCATTTAAATACCCGGTCCGTATTCGCGATTTAATCGTTCCCGTTTCTTCGAGCTCTTTTCCTTGCCGTTCTTCCCCTTTCTCTCCCCGCCATTATTCCGACAAGAGTTCTTCTCTCGCCAAAACCGAGGAGAACGAGCCGATCTGTAATCTGAAAGTTGTCAGCCGCACATCGCGCGCTGTCCTAATGGAATTTGAATGTCGTTAGCCGAAGTAACCGGGCGTGAGGAAGGGACCTTATCCCTATTACCACCGCGTCGTCCCCGCAGTCGACGGGGAATACGGCCGCCGCAGGTATCGTCCTTGAGAACCATAGTCTGGTCGACGAGTTTATTGGAACAGGGAAACGTGTCGGGTCCGAGGATCGTTTTCTTTCCTCCTTTCGAACGTTTCATCTCGTCGTTTTCCTACGTTCTCCCCATTTTCCACGTGCTCTTTTGTTCAAGACGTATAGCCACATAAAAAAGGATGATCATCGTACTCGAGCATCGATGAGAGAACACACAGACTGTACCTATACGTGACGGCGAGAAACATTCAATTTTCATAGAGGGAAAACGAGCGAATATAATCGCAAATCGAGATCGGGTAACAGTATCTAGCGAAAAATGGCGGATAGAGGCAAGGAGGACTACAAAAATCTCTTCCGGAGAAGACTTCCACAGTACATCGCTGCTTGCGCAGGTTCTTTTCTTACTTCTCGAAATTTCTTCCTATAGACGGTTTTTCAATATTATTTCGTTCGATGTAAACGATTTAACCTATTCGCCTGATAATTGCAATCTTTTTGACACGTTCACAGTTCCTTAACCCCTATGGTGTGATTGGTCTATAATCGCGTAGATTAGACGTATGCGGGTATCCGAGATTACGGACTCGGACTAGCTTGAAAAGACTCAGGCTCGTTCGTATCCTTGAAAATTCGTTAGTCCGTGAAATTTGTCTTGTTTTAAGCGTCGTAAAAAATTTAGCAGTCGCCGATAACCATTGTAGCGATCAACGTGTTAGTACACGTAATTATACGAGATTTTAATTCGCGATATATCGGTTCTTTGGACGTACGATGTCGTAATATGTATGTTCTTGCCTTGGACTGTGAACGTGTTTTAATGATTCACTGGTGTGAAATCGGTAAGAGAAACGATCGACTGTAGATACATGGCGTAAATTTTGTAGCATGC